TGGTTTTACAATTGCGCTTTTTACTGGGCCAGTTTTTTTTATTTTTTTTTTCGTAAAAGAGTCAAGTGAGGTTAGTGAACTATTTGAAAACTGAATGACTAGCGATTGGCTCGATATATAGAGGGAATTGTATGTTTGTGTGTGTGTGCGCACAGCTGTTTGGACGCAATAGCTAATAGTTAGCACAAATATTTCCCTAGAATTTCCATAGTCTAAGAAGCCCAAACACTTGGCGTATGTTTGTAATTAGAATTAGCCGAGGACCAACCCACCAAAAATATAGAAATGCTGAACGAAGGACGCTGCCCGTTTGCTGCCTAGCCGGATTAGTCGCTTAATCCTTGGGCCGAGCGTTGCGTTGGGTGTTCTATTTACATGCATTAGGTGCTGCCGCTGGCCTCTTACAATGCTTTTGTAACACGGCCAAACAATTAGCGCAAAATATTTTTAGGCCAATTTTAATGAGTTATAGAGACGTGAACTGTTTACCCGGAATATAATACGGCACAAAAATATACATGACAGACGATCATAAAAAGCAGCAAAAGTAGCATTTCGCATTCCCGGAAACTTTCTAAAATTCTGGAGCTCTCTCTACTCTAGAAGTTCCTGTTTTCTCTACCAACTATGATTTTCCTTTTATAAAATACATATCTAATGAAATGGTTTTTCCTTTCTGAAATAGTTTTTTTCTGAAGAACACAAGACCAAAAAAAAAAAAAAAACCAAAAATTAATTTCTAAACAGTAGAAAAAAATAAAAAACAATTATGCAAATTATTTAAAGCCTGCTTTCAATTTATTTTGTATTAATGGGTTAATATATTTTCCGAGTGTAGCTACACATATATGTCTTGAGTCTAACGATAATCCGGCCTGCTTAGCGGTTGCCTAATCTTAATCCCAATAGGAACTTGTGCGTCCTGGCTCAAGCTAATCCCCAGACGCTGCTTCCGCGCTTGCTGACGTCACACGCTGGCTTAATTAAATCACATGGATTAGCTTGAGCCGAGCTCGCGAGCGCGTGCTCGAAGATTCATTCAAGCTCGCGCTCGACTTGCCGCCTAACCCCTTGCCAAGATGCTGTTTGTGTGTCGTGCGCCTGGCTTGTGCCTCAGCTAGACACAGTCTGCACCCAAGCCTCTTTCTACTCGCCCCTCGACAGCGCAATCAATTTGATATCAAACAGGCGGCACCGCAGCCTGTTGAACTGTGCGCCCTAAGGAAAAAACTGAGCTCAGATCGTTTTTTAAGGGATGCTGCGGCTGTCAGCGCCAGTTCAGCGGGATCAGAGAGCTTGTTTACGCACATGCAAGAGGCAAGAGCTAATGCCACGCCCAGATAGTTTTAAATTACAGATCTATCTTTTTCTTGGAGAGGCACATTTCCTGGAAATGCTTGTGCCAGAGCTTAGCTTTGCTCAGCTTAGCTGTAGTCCTTGTAATTTCCTGCAACTCTTTAGAACACATGCGGACCACAAACTCAAGTCCTGGCCTTAAGCCGCGCATCATTAGTGCTCAAAGTGAAAGGGTAGCTGGTTTTTCGGCGCATTAAAAAGCGGATTTGAATAAATGCCTAGTTCCGCAACTCTAAAATAATATAAAACTCAAGATTGCATGGCTAAGCCCTTCCTAGTCTTCATTCAGCAAGGAAGACGCGTGCTCAGCCTGGTCCAGCGCTAAGCTCCAGGATTAGGGTAGTCCCTAATCAGCCTGCTTTGCATGGCAGTTCATTAAGCGCCGTTGCTGCTCTCTTTCTCTCTCTCTCGCACTTTGCTTGCCTGGCCACATAGCTCATCAATAGCAATTCGATTTGTCATGTTTATTGTCATCATGAACATTATCAGCACATTATCGATTGCTCGATTGACTATAAATCAGCAAACCCTCTCGGCTCGATCGAGTGTTACAAATAGCTAAAAAATTTGTGGGCAACACACACACACACACACAAACGCACACAGATCTCATAGCACTCAGGGCGCGCACCCTGGTCTACCCCTAACCCTATGTCTAACCCTAGCCCGTGGCTTTCACTTTCGCTCTTCCCCTGACGCTCGCCTCGAGCGAAATATTTGTAAAAAATTTGTCGTTTTTTATTTTTGGGTTGAAAAATAGCTGCATTTTTTGTTTGGTTTCTGGCTTTATGTGCATTGCTTGTTAGCGGTAGGGTTATGGTTACTTCAGCAAATGCTGGCAACAGCTGTAATACGAGACTGGACACATGCCATGGCTATAGAAAACTTGTAGTTGGGTGCATAAAACTAGTGCAGCTGCAGGCAAAGAGTTGTCAAAATGCTGGTTGAAAGTTTTTATACATGTACGTGCACCAATATTTGATTGATCAAAATATATGTTGACTCTTGCTATAGGCATTTCGAGAAATGAACGTACGTTGAGTAGGAGCTGATCAAATGCACCATCAAAATTTGTAATTCATCAAGTCTACATTTATTTATGCTTGACATCAACCAAACTTCAACTTCTTCCATTTTTGCTATTCAGATTTCCATGTTACATTAAGTTTTTACATTATAACATCTTAAAAGCTGATCAAAATGTTGGTTAATATATATGTGAATGAATTTACATTCAATCAATTTATTGAAAGTGCAATTTAATAAAATGTAGTTTACATAATTATATATATATATAGATATAGTTTTTTTTTTTTCAAAATGGTCTAGAAAAATCGAATGCTCAATCAAAGAGCAAATAGACATTTCTTGGAACTGAATATTAATTTGAGCTATCAACAATCCAAAGTACAATTTGTGGGTAGGCTGACTTATTAATAGTATTTAATGTCGTGTGCTACGCACTAATTACAGCAATTAAAGTTGTCTTAGGTTAGTATCAAAATTTTGATAGCACTACGCACTATTTAACGTGCCAGTGCCCCACATTTGATAGACTATAGATGTCATGTAGCACGTGCGTGTAGACCATGTCTTAGTCTCTCGCTGAACTGTTGCTCTTAACTTTCTCTTGACAACCGACGAGCGCTGATAATGGGTTGCCAAGCCTGACATTGTGTTATCAGCAAAGACCGGATCTTAATGAAGAGACAGCACTAAGTAGCTGAGCCAACAGCTGTTATCAACACACGATTATACTGACTAATCCAAAATAGTTTTGACTAATCCAAAATATCAGCAGAAAGGGTATCCAAATATATTTATCAAGAGCCAAGTCAGAGTTTTCGCCAGAGCCTCGCTGCTTGCGTTTTTAATGTTTTCTGCGTATTTTGGTTTCCCGGCAAAAATCATATCTGTTCGACTAATCCGTCGGGAATTGTTTTAGTTTTGCAGTTTTACGTAACATTATGCAGAGCAAATGTCTCGAGCAGACAGTCCTATATGGACAATGTGGATGGACAATGGTCCGTTTTTGCCATTGTAGTTTTCACTTTCGAAAATTACAAAATTTCCACGGTAGTTCTATGTTGACCGAAATTAACATCCCGTCGCGTTACGGTCGCGTCCTTGGCCTACCTAACGGCATGTCCTCATCTAACTACATCTATTTATGCATGTTTTCAGCTGAACTTGCGCATGTCCTGGCCATAAAAATCTACATAAAACCATTTAAAAGTCAATCCGCAAAAGTCAGCAGCGCGACGACCAAAAAAGAAAATCGTTGAAACTGTTTTTTAGCAAGGGTTTTTGTGCAAGTTTTTTGCTTGTTTGACATTTTTTTTCTTGTTCTGTTACCTGTTTTTAGTTTTTTTTTTTTTTTTTTTTTAGCTGTTGCTCTTTTTTATGATTTGGTTTTTTAGACGTGTGCCGGCAATTAGTTGGCCATTAAGCGTAGCTCATTCAGAAACTTGAGTCAACTCAACAGGCTGCTTAAAAAACTCACTCACTCGCGTTTGCTCCTTCGCTTAACTTTCACGTGGGCTTCGCCCCCTTTTGAGTGGCGTTCGTTTCGTTTTGTTTACTTCCTGTTTACTCTTACGGCGCACGCTCCCAGCCAACCCCGATCCGACCGGTCCCTGGCCCTAACCCCACACCCCGCCTTTACTGCTGGTGACTTTTGGCGTTCGCTCTCGCTCGCTCGCTCACTCGGTCACTCGCGCGCTCAGGCGCTCTTTATCATCCCCCTTTGCGCACTTTGAGCACTTTTTTTTGGTTTTCCTTTATGTTCAAAGGGGAAGTCTCTGACATGAGTTAATTGCTGCAGTTTGAGTGCTTTTTTCGCCCAACTGTTTTAAACATTGACTAGAAATGGTCGAACAAGTGTTTATTTTTATTTTTTGTAATTGCCCTTTTTTTATGAAGGCTCTAAAAAACGGAAGTGCGAGCTAGTTTTTTTTAGGGATCACATAGGTAGCAACGTTTTTTGTGCTGCTTGTAAAAAACGCCTTGGTCATAAAGCCATAAAAATATTTACGCCCGCCCGTCGCCGCATAAGGTTTTGTTATTTTTTAAGGCATTTGGTTAAAAGTCAACTTGTGTCGGTTTTAAAAAGAAATTAGTTTTGTTCTAGAGTTGAGATTTGCACGGAATAGCAGCTGTATCCCACTCATTCTCACTCGCCCTGTCTTTCTCTCTCGCTCTCTCATGCTCTTTCCCTTTCACATTAATTTGCATATATGCAGCATCAGAAATTCTTTAGGTAAAACAACAACAAAGAGCGCAAAGCAAAAATAAAAAAATAAAGAGCTGAGGTATTTTTGAACTCAGTTTTTTTTTTACAATCTCACACACACAAACAAACACACACACACACAAACAAACACTAGCATGCTCGTAAAGGAGAGCATGTTACCTGCTTTGATCGGCAGCGCGTTTCGGATTTCGTTGTTCGTTTCGTTCTGTGTCGTGCTTCCTCCCTTTGGCTGGCTATCAATGTGCGTGAGCGAGCGAGTGAGTTGCTGCTGAGTGAGTGAACGATTGAGTGCGTGCATGTATGCCAGAGTGTGTGTGCGTGTGCGTGTGTGTGCCGTGCAGAGAGGGTGAGCGTGCGAGCGTACTTATAGTTAGCGCACGCGGCGAATTCGTATCATTCGTGATTTGGCTCTGACAGTGAGAGGAGCACAGTTTTTGATGCCAAACAAACACACACGCTCGCACACAGACACTCACATACACACGCACACCCGCTCGTACACACTCACGAAGCAAATTTGTTGCTTCTAAAGGATTTCCACAGCGCAAAGGATACTCTCTACTCAGCTCAATATAAAAACGTGTTGCAGTCAGTCGCTTCATATCATTTCTCAGCGACAACTCGTCACAGTCACAACTCAAAAACTTAGTTAAAAAAATATATATAAAAAGAAAATTTGTTGTGTCTTAACGATAAAAAAGAAACGCGAGAATCAACAACAAACCAAATACCTCAACAAAATAGAAGAAAAAAAATCAAAGTTAATAATTTACATAAGAATAAGAAATTATAATTGCAACTACCTCATTTTGTATACCGTGAACTTTTGTAAACTGTGCAAAAACTACCTCAAAGTACAAAACACACACACACACAAACACACACAATCCCAACCAAAAAGTGCACGAAATTATATACAGTTTAAAAGTTTATAAATAAAACGCAGCTCAAATGAAAATTTGTGTTCAGAACTGAAGAATAAACATTTGAAGTGAAATTGTAAGCAAATTGCTTGCAATTTAATTTGCAAGGACAACAAACATACAACACACACACACATAACAAACACAGCTATGGCCATATCAATGCTGCAGGACGCGCAGACACGAAGTAAGTAAAATATTTCAACAAAATGTGCAAAATAATAAGATTATAGAAACAGTTTGGGCAAGCTCTCAAAAGGAATATTAAACTAAACAGGAAAATATAGTATAGGGAATATTATTAGACACAATTCCTTAAATCCAAGAGTCTTGGTAATTGCTAAGATTTTTTAGAACGTCTTGTTGAGCAAAACTTTATATTTAGAAATATTATTTGTAGGAGCAGAAGCATATTTCATGCAATCTCAAAAATTAAGACAAATTTTAAAAAGTTTTAATCAAACAAAACTTACTACTAATTTTTAAACAAGACAACAAGTCCTAGAAAATTGTTTGCTTGCTTTTAAATGGTATGCAACATTAAAGAATAATCAATTTGATCAAGTTTTCCTAAACCAAGATTGGCAAAGTTTAAAAGAAATTTAAAACAAAAGTTGCCTAAGATAAGCTAAGACTAAATTACATTTTGCTAACTGCAAGCTTGCATTTGGAAAGCATTCGCTGTATTTTTTCGTGCTGAATGTTTCCTGAAATCTCTTCATAACATATTAAAGCTCGCATTAAAGCACAACTGCTCACATGCACACACACACATAAACATGCTTAAGCACGCACAGCAATAACGACGTCTCAATGTGCTTGAGTTAACATTAGGCGCCATTTTGCCAAATGCTCAACACACACACACACGCACGCACACACATGCGATTAAGTTTTGTTTACAAGTTTTTTTTTTCGCCGGCATTTAACTCGTTTCACGCCCACCAAAACAAATGCCAGAAAGAGTGCGAGAGAGAGAGAGAGAGAGGGAGAGCGCGGGCTTGAAAGAGAGTATCTGCCACACACACAGACAAAAGCTCACACATATGTGACACATGTGACGCTCTTGAGCGCGCGCGCTCTTCCGCTCTTTTGTTAAGGTTCAAACTCCCCGCTTCCCGCTCCATCAGCTATGCCAATCACACGTGCTGCTTTGAACCTTGAACAAAAAGTTAAAATGTTGTGTGTGCTTCTCGTGCTTGCCCCCGCCGCGGGCAACTGACCAAACTGCTGCTGACAGCTCAGCGGGTGAGGTTGAGAGGTTGGAGAAAATAATAGAAAATAGAAAATTAGGAAATTTTGCTCTACTTTATATTTTGATTATGCGCCTTGCTAACCAGCCACACTTTTTGTTGCTTGCTTTTTCCTTAGGCCTGGCCGCTGCCTTGGCTGGCATCAAGCGCGAGGACATGGTTGTGGATCGCTCCATGTCGCTGTCGCCGCCCATGTCCGCCAATACCTCGGCCAGCAGTCCAGTGGCCTCAAGCAATGGCCTCAACACGCACTCGCTGTACCCATCGATGGGTCTGCAACAGGCTGCGGCCGCTTCCGCCTTTGGCATGCTGTCGCCCACACAGCTGATGGCTGCCAATCGGCAGGCGGCTGCCTTTATGGCCCAGCTGCCCATGAGCACGCTGGCCAACACGCTATTTCCACACAATCCAGCGGCGCTGTTTGGCGCCTGGGCGGCACAGCATCAACAGCAGCAACAGCAGCAGCAGCATCAGCAGCAGCAGCTGCCTTTGGCCGGCACCCATTTGCACTCACCGCCCGCCAGCCCGCACTCGCCGCTGGCCAACAGCGGCAAGCATCCGCTCAGCTCGCCGAACAGTACGCCGCAGCAGCATCATCTGGGCCTGGGTCTGGGTGAGCCCGTTAAGAAGGCGCGAAAACTGTCAGTCAAAAAGGAATTCCAAACGGAGATTAGCATGAGCGTCAGCGATTTGTATCACACGCCTGGCGGGCCCATTTCACCGCCCAGCAGCGGCAGCTCGCCCAACTCCTCGGCCCATGAGGCCACTTCAGGTGTGACAGCAGCAGCTACTGCTGCCGCCACTGCCGCTCCCGCCAAGGATCCGTCGCGCGACAAGAGCTTCACGTGCAAGATCTGCTCGCGTAGCTTTGGCTACAAGCATGTCCTCCAAAACCATGAGCGCACCCACACCGGCGAGAAGCCGTTCGAGTGCCCCGAGTGCCACAAGCGCTTCACCCGTGACCATCATCTGAAGACGCACATGCGTCTGCATACGGGCGAGAAGCCCTATCACTGCTCCCACTGCGATCGCCAGTTTGTGCAGGTGGCCAATCTGCGGCGTCATCTGCGCGTCCATACCGGCGAGCGGCCCTACACCTGCGAGATTTGCGAGGGCAAGTTCAGCGATTCGAATCAGCTGAAGTCCCATATGTTGGTGCACAATGGCGAGAAGCCGTTCGAGTGCGAACGCTGTCACATGAAGTTCCGTCGGCGCCATCATCTGATGAATCACAAATGTGGCATTCAGTCACCGCCGACGCCCGCTCTCTCGCCAGCCATGAGTGGCGATTATCCCATGGCTGCAGCGGCTGTGGCAGCGGCAGCCGCTTTGGAATGCTCCACCAACAAATTTGCGGCCATGTGCGCCAGCTATGGCGGCTCCGAGGAGTCTGTGGATCTGGCCAAGAGCAGCCTGGATGAAGAGGCACCGCTCGATCTGTCCGAGGATGGCGCCAGCTCTGTGGACGGCCATTGCAGCGGCAGCAATGCGCGCCGCAAGGCGCAGGACATACGCCGCGTTTTCCGGCTGCCACCGCCACAGATCGTGCACGTGGCCAGCGATATGCCCGAACAGACCGAGCCCGAGGATCTGAGCATTCACTCGCCGCGCTCCGCCGAATCGCACGAACAGCACGAGGACATCGATCTCGATGAGCTGGACGATGCAGCTGCTCTCTACCTGCGACAGCAGCAACTCCAGCACCATTAAAGGAGCAAACTCGCTCTCTGTGGGAAATGGATGAATTTGTATATATGGTTCAGAGTGCCGGCGATCATCAGATGAGGCTGGCTAAGAGTTTACGGTACAGGAATTTATGTCAAGTACAAGTAGCTTGCAAAACAAAACAAACAACAAAAAAAAGAAAAAAACAAAAAACAACCAAACTATGAAAAATTAAATTAATTTTTAGTCATTTAGCAAATAACAAATGCAGATTGCACATAAATCAAAAAGCTCCAAAAAATTGTACAAAAAACACGTTAAGCTAAGACAAATTTTAGGCGATAAGAAAACACTCTCACCCAAAAACAAAACGTAACCCAGCTAATGTTGTGCCATTCTCAAAGCCTAGTTTTAGTTATATTTAGTTTAAATATTATCCTCGGTTGTTGTCCAGTAATTGTATATAGCCAGCGTTTGCAGCTGCCAATTGTAAATTATACAGCGCTCTCTCTCCCAAAAACAAAAAAAAAAAAACCTTTTAAAAAACCAAACAAAAACAAATCAAAAAACACATTTTAGTTATTGTTTAGTCTAATTTGTACGCATCTTTTGATTATTCTCAAAGAAAACGCCAATCAACACAAAAATCAAAACTAACTTTAAGTTATTAACAAGAAGAAAGAGTATATAAGAATAATAATAAATTCTTTATATGTAATGCCAATTGTTTTGTTTGCCATAAATTATAAATTTAATTATTTTATTTAAACTAGCCAGTACGTTTTATTGCATGAATCTCGTTTTATTGAAAGCATTTATTATCATATATGTCAACATGATTCTTACTTTTAGTCATTTTTTTTAGTCTGCTATTTAAATTGTATTTAATGAAGCCCCGCCAACTGCTGCCGCGTGCTGTGGGGGGCATGTTGCGAAAATAAAATTGATAAAAGTCAGCGAAAAATATTTTATGTTCTTTTTATTTTACTTTTAAGTTTCAGTTCAGTTCTTCTGAAAAAATATATATTAAATTATTGACATTTCATTCACTTAAAGTTATTCGTTTCAAAATATTACTGAACAACACATTTTAGCTCTAACGTATTTTTGATATCATTTTATTTTGAGTTGCAAAGTTTTCAAATTTCAACAAAAAATATTCTTTTACATGTTTTTTTTTCTCTTCATAAATTATTTGCACATTTATTTGCCTACATTATCCACCCACTTCCATTTCCACTTCCACTGATATTATATATATATATAGCATATAGCTCAAACATAAATATATATTGTCTAAAACTAGATTGTTAAGTCGTGAACCAAGTAAACAGGAAGAACTACTATAACCGAATACCTCCAATACCTCTATGTAAAAAACGATTTGTTGTGATTGTCATTAAGCAACTCACACACAAAGCTGCACACACTGACACACACACACAGACATATGCAGAGCTCATAAATAGCATACACACATATAGCATATATATATATAGCGAATATATAGCGATATATATATACTTACAATAACTACAATTTGGGCAATCGTACAATTCAACTGAATTTATATACAAAAACAAAAAGGCAAAGTGGAGCTATGTAAACCGATAAACAATATCGAAAGTTATATATATATATATAGCAATTTTTATGCATATTTTTTATGACCTAAGCATAACGAACGATTTTCCAAGCATTTAGTATACATATTAGCCTAGATCTAAGTGTACATATACGAATAGCCTAAGCTGTACATATTTACTCAAAGAACAACTTACACTACAGCATAATTTTAGTGCAATCTTTGGTTTCGATTTAATTTAAATATCAAAAAAAAAAAAAAAAACCAAATGCAACAAAATATTGTGTAATTTTCTTTGTTCATTCAAGTGTATGGTATACAAGTTCCTCAAGATTAAATAATTACAAAATAAAAATACCGAAATAGTTGAACGCATCTCGAGGCCCGCAAACTTCGGCCTTTGAGAAACTGCGCATTGTACACACACATACTCACACATGTTTCATATGAATTATGTATATGTATATTTAAATATATTACAAAATATATCTTAATCTAAGTGTATAAATATCGTCTAAATTATAAATCTATATGCACGTAAAGTCAATTTAACTGTAAATACTAATGTGTACTCTATATTATTACGCTCAATATATAATGTGCAATATATAGTCCAAAAGTTCTGCACTTAAAAACTAACCTTTAAAAAGAAAAGTATCAAAAAAACGAAACTAGAAAAATTCACAACTAATAATTCATAATTATTATATGACTTATATAAACATTATTATTATATATGTAATTCTAATCTAACTAAGGCATGCGCTGCTTTGCATATTTGATTTTCTAGTTTATTGTTGTTGTCCTTTCAAGCATTTTAAATATTATATAAATATTATATAACAAAAAAAAAAAAAAACAAAGCAACAAAAAAAAAGATTCATTAATTTTTAATGCAAAACCAAAAATGAAAACCTCAATGTACGAGTATTTATTATGTTTATGGCAAATTGTGTGAATACAAAAGCGAAATATATATTACAATATTGTGTTAAAGCCGCAACATTTTTAATCAATATATTTAGGCACCCAGAACGCCCACCTACCCCACCGAAATTAGCCCCTACCCCGCTTCCCCCACTGCCCATCCCGAACCCAGCGACAACGGGCGACATTATATAAATTTTTAATTTATGCAAACGAAGCCCTTTCGCATTATTTTACATTTGCCACGAGACGCCCCACTAATGCTGTCGCCGCAATGGCACATGCCATACTCCCCCAGCCCACTCACCCCTTGGGCCAAGCGCCAACCCCAAACTTCGCCGTTTTGAATTTCTGCGCCGCGCGGCGGCTGAGCGCAAAACGTGAAAATATATATATATATATATATATGTATATATATAAAAATAAAAAACCGCGCCGCGCGCGCAGCCAGAAAATGTCACAGTGTTTTCCCATTTAATCTTCAGCGAGCAAACAACAACAACATTGGCAGTCCACCCCCACCAAGGTCCCATCCAGCCCCCATCCTTTCAGCCAGCAATGCGACGCCTCCTTTCTTTGTGCCCCTTTCAACGGCAGGCAGCAGCAGCAGCAGCCGAAAAAGGCTTCGTTCTATGTACAAAATGGCAGCATGTATTACATAAAAAGTCGACTTACATAGCACGAGGCATTCTGTTCTGCTCCAGCTCCAGCTCGAGCTCCTTTTGCGCCCACTCCTCTGCATTGGGGGTAGTCCTGCGCTGCTTATTAGCATTTCAGCCTTTCTTCGCTGAGCGGCAGCGTTGCCTTTCGAGTAAATGATTTAGACTTGGGTAGCCAGCATTTTTTGCCAAATGAGTTTACGAGTGTTTGGCTGTCAGGATTTTAATACCCTCCAAAAGTAACTAAAAAAGGGTATATTAACTATTCATAATAAATCTGAATAACTTAAATTAATTGGCTAAGAATTCTCCCTAAATATTGATTTGGGTTGTTTTCGTCCTTTTGCTGTACTCTATGGATAGGGTACCCTGTAAAAGCAACCATAAAGGTAACAATAACAATATTACATATTCATAATAAATCGTAATATTTTTATTTAATTGGGTAAGAATTTTGAACATTTTCCTTTTACACAACTCTATTTATAGGTATCTCGCATTCGTGTACACTTAAGCACAAAGCTCGTATTACTTAAAATAACCCCGTATATCGTAATTTTGCAGTTAAGATATCTAAAGGAGATTTAAAGGGCATAAGAAGCTAGCAAGGTGTCCAAGTCAAAGATTTATATACCCTGTAAAAAGTTTCCTAAAGATATGTAAGATTAATTATTATAAAGAAGTAGGAAAGGTACTCAAAGGGTATCTACAGTTGCACCCACTTAGTTGCTGTTGCAGCCCCACAAGAAAGAATGTGAAAAGGCAGTTGAAATAAATTTTAAAGGCTTCTTCTTCTCCGTTTTTACAACCAACCGCCGAGCGCTGCTCATTATTCAAATTGAAAAATTATGATTTGCGCCCAGGACTTGAAGTCCGAAGTTCGCGTCCAGCGAAGCAAGCGATTCTAATAAGCTGCCTCAAGTGCAATAGACTCTAGAGTGGAAAGGGCGATGGGCAGTGCGGTGGTGGTGGTGATGGTTGGGAAAGGCAGGAAAGGGAAATGGGCATGGCCATAGCAGTAGGGCAGCTGATGCCGCATTGGCTGCCACTTTCATTATCCTGCGGCCATTCGCCTCAATTAAATGGGTAAAATTATGAGCCTTATTAATATGGCTAGAGTCGTCCTTTTACAGCGGGGTTCGCTCCAGTAAGGTTAAGTCTGTGTAGGCGTAGAATTTTGGGTAGATTTACTTAGCTTAGTTGATATTGAGTAATTGCAGTTGGTGGCGTTTACAGCAGCTCTGCAAAAATGAAAATATTGGGAAAATTATGTTTAAAGTAAGCATAAATAAAGTTTATTTATTAGTTTTTTAAAGCTCCAAACAACCAGCAAAACTCTTGCTTTGCCTTTATAAAACCATGAAAATATCCTTAAGATATATATAATTATTGTTCAACAAGGGCTTCTTATATAATATATTTATTAAGTTTGCTTTTGAGTTAATTTCTGTGCTTTTGCGTTAAATTTTAACACTTGTAGAAACCGATCTGCGAAATCGATTGTATGAGACCTCCGCAATCTCCTCCGCATTCTATGTCTCTTTAAGAGACGCTATACAATATTTCTATTCAATATCGAAAATAAATTCCACAAAAATTCTCATACCTATTAATAATTCTTACGCTCGTCTTCGCATAACCTTTTAATAGAGCTCAAGCATTGTGAAATATGTTTCAAAAATAGTGAAGCGCTGAGGGGCGTATAGGGCATCAATCAAATGCACACACACAAAACAAATTGCAACAGGATCAGTGCGGAGCAAACAAAGGGTTATCGCCAAAGGAGAGAAGAAAGAGAGAAGAAGCAGAGTAGACGGCAAATGCCGCATGAATGAACACAGACTGAAGCCAATTGATGTGGCTGTTGTTTGATCCTTGGCCTGTTCCCTTAACCCCCCTCCGATGCGCACAGGCATGCAAATTTTTGGCAAACACACATACGCACACACACACGCACACACACTGCTGACACAATTAACAGTGGGTAGGTAGTGGCAGCTCTTGTGCTGTAAGCGATGCCCGTTCTCAATTACCAAAAGGCATTGCGAATTTTCTTGGCCACACAGCAGGCCGCATATAGAGAGAAAGTGGCAGGACTGTCAAGGACATATTTGCACACAGCGTGTGTTGCAGATATATATGTGTGTGTGTGTGAGTGTGTGTGTATTTTAAGGAAAAGTTTCGCCTTGAGACAAACGCAAATTGCAATCTAGCATAAACAAATGCTCATTACAATTTCACATTTAACATTGCGAGCATTTCTTCACTCCTTTACGCGGCTGCTCGTAATTTTTATCAAGTCAACCCTACAGAGCAGGGTAAAATAAAAAAAAAAAACAACCCTCTCGTTGCGCAGCTAGCGTCAGCAGCGACGCCAGCCGCGACGCAGGCAGCGATAACGAGAAACTCATTTGCATACGAAGTGCTTTCGCTTTCTCTGCTTCGAACCATTTTTTTTCCTTTGCCTTGCTGCTGCTCTTGTCGAATGGCGTCGCCGCCGCAGCACCTGCGCCTGCGTGCAAGCGAGCCGGCAATATGTCTGTTGCCAGCTCGCTCTGGCCCTTTGGCTTTAGTCAAAGAGTTTAATGCTGGCTGAGCACAGTCGCACTGTCGACGTCGCCTGCTCAGCTCAGCTCGGCTCAGCTCAGCTTCCGCGCTGCTCATTATCAAGCAAGCAGCGTAAAACTCATTGAGACGTTTGCAGCCCCCACTGGCAGAGCAGAGCCCCAGCCGCACCCGCACTGCCGCTCGCCCAGCAGCTTTTAGCTTTGGCTTTGACTCATTTTCCTTTTTTA